AGGGTACATCACAGCAGCTTACACAGCCAGTCTTCTTCAAATGATCATGTACTATACTGTTTTGGAATACTTACTCTGTCTGATAGTTCCTGAAATGCGTCATATGAATTTTCAACAATAGCTTTTTTTAACAGTCCTTGTTTATAAAAAATTGTCATCAAGAGCAGGCAAAATCTTCGAAGCTGAAATTTAAATGCTTAAATAATTCCCAAAATAACTCTTAAGTAAGCCTCAAAATGTGTCATCAGAAAACAGCACAAATTTTATGAGTAGTTTCTCTAACATTCTTTCCTCTTTTAAAACAAAAGACTTAATTAATAAAAATGAATTTTTAGGTACTCCATACTTAGCACTGCAATGAAACAAAAATAATGCCATAACAAATGCTAGAACTATGCAATGTGAGCAGAAAAGACAGTATTTAATTATTTGTTTTGATCAAGATCCATCTTATCACAGTAATAAAATTAGTAAAGAAAACACGCTTCAATTCGAAAAACTGCAGAACTTCCTGGATGATCCAATTCATATTCTCAAATTAAGTGTTAACAGACAGAAAGCGAAAATTCACAAAACAACAACAACAACAACAAAACAAAAAAAAAAAAAAAAAAAAAAAAAAAAAAAAAAAAAAAGAGGGAACAGTTGCCGGCTTTGACACCCTAACACAAATAAAGGTACTCTTCTGTTATCATTAACTGGATTCAGAAATGTATGTATGTGCATATATGTGTGTATATACACATATATGTGTATGTACATATGAACACATACATCTACACACATGCATACATACATCTTTGAATCCAGCCCCAACAACAGAACAATACCCAAATTAATAACTACAGCAACTATATGATGTCACTAAGTTTTAAATAGGCCTATAAGCTGCAGTTTTCAGAATGGAGTTCCTTTTTTTAAGTTTATAGTTCGATCATGGGTCTTGGGGATCTACCAAACAATGAAGGTGCTGTTATTAGTTTCTTGAATGTTATAACATTTTGCTGAGTAACCACCAATGTTCCAATTTGCATGAAATGAACTTTTATTCAAGACAATCAAAGAGCGCATCAAGAGCAAGAATTCCAAAAAGCTGGTTTTGAGCTTTTCAATGTGAACCACAAATTCAACTTTGAAAATCTACATTCCAGAGGTCATACCCAAAAGATCGAGCAGGTATGGACTTCTTCAAAATGGTGGGAAAAGAAACATATGGGAAAAGCATGACATCATTTGAAGTCACACTTAGTAAAGTTCATGGGGCAACAAAAAGTAGTAGTTCAGAGTAAAAAAAACATGTAAGTACTGAAATTTTTTAAGCTACATAAAACCATCCACAAGACTAACAATTATACTCTAATCACATGGGAACTTCCCTTCCAGTAGTACATATGCTCATATTTTTCTTTAACAGACATATTCAGAGCTAAAAAAAGAAATTTTAATGCAAATGCTTGTAAATGATTAGATGGTGTTATTCGAAAATGTCAAAGCTCATAAAGGCTGTCTGCCTAATGGAAGAGATGCCTTCATACTTTCTACAGAGAACTGACTCATATTTACAATACACACAGGGTAAACATGAAAAAGAACCATGCAGCCAGCCTGTTCATCTGGAAATGAACCCAGGATAAACTCCCAGTATTCAACACCATTCAACTGCTTGGCCAGTGGAGGGGATTATATGATCAGAGTGTTAATCTTCAGTTGTTACAGATGACATTTTTGATGAAATTATGAATTGGCAACAATTGCATGGGTGATAATAATTGGAATATGAAACGTCTGACTTAAAAATGCTTAGAATTTTAAAATTTTATATGACTATTAGTTCATATTTATTTGATTTTCATGAATGAATACTAAGCATCTACAGTTTAAATTGTATGTGTTCACATTCAAATGATAAAAAATTATGTTAGAGAAATGTTAAAAGTATCACATATTTTTGATCTAATATGAAATAATTTAAAGTCTATTTATGATTTTGAAATGTACTATTAGAAATGGTAGTTTTTTACAAAAGATTCAAAGTACATGAGGTGAACATTATTAAGTAACACTGGATATGTCATAAACGTATTACCTTATGAATCAGATTTAGTTAACACACATGAAGTTGTTACATTACATACTTTGAATCTGCAAAATACAGCTATAGAAGACAGAAAGCAATTCAAGAAGCAGAATTTTCTTAATCGTGAGAAGCATTTCTTTCAGTTAGTGAAAGCTAAAATTCATTTACTCATGACATGGAAAAAAGCATGTAATGGGAAAGGAGGAATAATAATAATAATCCTCATTCATTAAACTTTGTTCAAACAATGGTAAAAGTCCTTACTTAATTACTGAGAGATCATGACACATGTAATGCGACATTTTCCGGAAAATTCCGATCGTGATTTTAGCTAATAAGCACTTAAAAAGAATTTCGCTGCTAAAGTGCAGAATCGCCCACTTATTCGTTTGGCGCTTTTTACAAGAGTAAGAATTGGATTTTTGTCAATTTTCTTTGACTTTTTAAGTGAAAATAGGTCGATGTGTACATAGGTAAAATCAAGAACGTGCGCAATGCCATTTTTGTGCAATTCTGGGATTTTTTTTAAGTGAAAATAGGTCAACGTGTACATGGATACCATGTATGAGCAATTCTTAAAAACGCGGCAAGCAGTTTGCGATTCTGCACTTTCTCCCAATTTCGCACCTAATCTTCGTCATGATTAAGCATTTTTGTTCCATAAAAGTTTTAGTATAAGCGTAATTCGGCTAGCAGATTGTTAAAAAAATGTTGAGTAAAAAAAAAAAAAAAAAAAAAAAAAAAAACATGATTTACTTCGTGAAAACAAAATGGCGTCCAAAACAAAACTAGCAGGTTGCTGTAGCAGGGTTGGTCGCCATATTTTCGGCAAAAAATCGCCAAGCTACCATAATGTAAAGAATCGCCGAAGATTTTTGTCTTAATTAATTTAAGCTATGCTTGATATGCTTCCAACAGAAAAAATTCCAGTAACATATTTTGCAGGAATACAGAATTTTGCTAGAAAATTGCTAAAAGGAACAATTGCTTTTAGTTTAATATCAAAATAATCAGCATAAAATTTCCAACTGCGTGAAAGAAAGAAGAACCTGCTCATAAGTAACTTTACAGGTTGTTTTCTTAGTATAAATTTTTGGAAAAGTGTAGAATCACCCACTGCTTGGTGTGTTTTTAAGAATTGCATAAACTCGATATCCATGTACACATAGACATATTTTCACTTAAAAAAAATATCGGAGAATTATACAAATTCGGCATTGCGCACTCCCTTGACTTTGTCCATGTACACATTGATGTATTTACAGTTAAAAAGTCAAAAGAAGTTGAGAAAAATCCAATTCTTACTCTTGTACAAGATGCCAAATAAGTGGGTGATTATGCATTTCACCATAAATTTTTAACTAATATGCAGTCTATATACTGTATTTTCTGGCGTATAACACGAATCTATAATTTCAAGCTACATTTTTTAATTTTTAGGTATGTTCACTATATAACATACACCCAATTCTTCACGAAGAAACCTAAAAGACACATGTAATGCTCTTATGAGTTCACTTATTCGAACATTTGTCCTAGCCTTTCGAAGAATGGTAAACCGCATTGACAAGCGATAAGGGGAACAATATGTGTGTGAGTTAAATGTCTGAGGGAGTAAATATTCTGGCAAAGAGGGTGGATTGTATTTAATGCAACTGTCCAAGAGAATGCTATTGTAGAGCACCTCTAACCTGAATGAATTTGCAGAATTCATTCAGTTAGATGTTTTCTCTTTCTGTAGTCATTTGAAGGCATATTTTTAAGTGAATCACATTTGCTTTAGTTGAAATACAGTTGATCTACAGCTTCTTTTAATAAATATGGTAAATATGGCTTCTGAGAAAAGAAAAAAACACAATGCTGTTTTTAAATGCAAAGCCATTCATTTTATGAAAGAAAATTGAAATCGTGCTGCAGCAAAGATGTTTGGTGTTGGTGAAAGATAGAATGGTTTATTTATGTATCAAAATAACAGTGATGGTGAAGATGATATGCCTGAAGATATAATGGCAGACGAACATGACGAACTCATGATGTTATTCGATAAGGAAAATGTTTAATTTCATAAGGTATGACATTTCTCTTATATAAGCAGCATTCTGGTGAATGTAAAAATCTAATTTTGCCCTTATTTATTTAAGCTATCGTTTTTATATCTGGCATATAATGCACATGTATTAAATGTGTTATACACCGGAATATACGGTATATATAACAAAAAGTAATTTTTTGCAATTATAAGTTATCACTCTTTTTTTTTTTTTTTTTTTTTTTGAGTAAAAAAATTCTAAATTGCACTCTTGTGTTAGTTACGTGGAAAAGATTTTTACATATATGATTACCCGAATTTGGCGACTTCTACTAAAGTAATTGTGCTAACACACAATTATCAAATTTTACAATTTAATCGAGATAAGTGTATTCTTAAACACATTTTCCCAGGCTGCATTTAGAATAAGCAAATTACCGGCACTCTGAAATATTACTTTAAGCACTTTCTTCGGTTTTCTTTGGTTTCGCATATTGGAAGAGTTTAAGCTGTTTTGAGTTGCATATATTTCTACGTGAAATTATGCAGACGAAAGGGTAAATAATTATTTTTTACATATTCATCTTGCAAACAGGTATATTACAACTAACAGCTGAACTTATATCATTTTAAAACAAGATGCAATTATTCTTAAGGCTGGGAAAGGGTGTTCTAAGAAACAAACACCTGATTTTTAATAGAAAACAATACTTAAAAAAAAAATTTATCAATTCATTAATTAAGTTAGATTTGTATCCCAAGAGCCGCTTTTCTGATACTTTCGAAGCATTAAAATTTTGAACTTCTACTGACTTCTCGAATTCAGAGATTTCCTATGTTCTACAACATTCAATGGATAAATTGTAAAACGAATGTCAAAATACATCCAGATACCTGCTCCGCTGATGTTGCAGTCTCAAAATCATCATCGTCGTATCGCTGTTCATCAAAATCGGAGGATAAACATCGAAGTTTTTCGGTCAAATTTTCACAAAATTCGTCCATGTTGTTAATAGTTGCCCATAGAAACAGTACTTATTTTCTATTGGCTAATACCGCTTTTTCACCGGTTGGAATAATTTCATGACGTAACCGTATAACTTTATACTTTTTATTCTATGGTTAACCAAATACTATCTTCAATTTCGTTAACGCATACTGTAACTCAACCTGTTAAGAAAGTTGCGGTTCGATACAAGACGAACTCAGAGTGAAAAAATTGACTTCTATGTATTTTCATCTTTATTTTATATTATTCTTCTATTCAAGATTACAGTGCTTTCATGTTTTTTCAGTTTTATTGACTTCAAGAATTAAGTTTGAATTAAGCTGTGAAATTTAAACTTAATGGGACTTGTACATATTAATTTTATTTTACTTCTCATATTTTTATCATATATGTGTTTCTATCGGATTTTGTGCTGCAGGACTCAGTGAAATGCTATTTATTTGCTTTTATTGCTATTCACGAAGATTTCTACCCGTGTTACCTACTGTTGCATAATCGAGAAAATATTGTTAAGAATTTTATTATTACTATTTTTTATTATTATTGTCTATTTTTCAAAAGTGTGTTTTTGTTTTATTATTGTGTGAAGTTGTAACTATATGTCTTTTCTTGTGTGGCAACAACGCTTCTGTAATTCTTCAATTTGAACTTTTGGATGTGTGCCAGGTTGATGGCGTAATGCTCTGGTGAAAGCGTCGATTGATTGTGTAGATGAAACATGTTGTTTCAGAACGTTATTTCTTTAAAATATGTAAAATAAATGTTTTGTTTTCTGAACTCGGATTATGCATACGTTATTTAGTTTCAACACCTACGAAGATAAAGATTGTAAAACTATTGTTATGATACTAGGGACCCCAATTTCAGTAAACGCCTAAGGGCGATCCTAAATGTTAGTAATGTGTAATGCAAATTGTTGCTCAGATTCTTTATTGTATGTTGTTCTTTTTTCCTCCTGATTGCTTTTTGTTTTTACTAGTGGCACTAAGGCGTCGCACTTCGTATTTTGTTTCTCTTGTGTGTACATGTATTCTTCTGTGAAATAGTTGTTAAAAAAATAGTTAATTATGTATGGATTAGTAATTAGGTACTTAAGAGAAAAAATATGTATTTAACTATTAGCGATTATGAATTTAAACTCTTGCTCATTTAATTATTTAGCACATTCAGTTATATTTCTCATAATTCGAAACTTTTATCAAGGGGTAGGGCTATGGCACCCAGGCACCCTGGTGGTTAAGCACCCCAGTTCAACATCTATCTATACTATATGTTCTTAGTACGTAATAAAGTCGCCTACGTGTTGCCATGAGAACTTTACTTCGTGGTGCTCGCACCCTTCTACCAAGATCTAGTTTGGCCTTGCTTCTACTCAAATATACAACGGACAGTTCTTTTGTTTTTTAGCATAGTCGACTCTATGAACAAGGCTAAAGTTTTTCATTTGTATTTTTTATTTTGTCTTGTGAACTTTGTGACACATTTCACATGAATATCCAGCGAATTTTCCAGATTCATTCTGCCTTTTATAAAAGCAGAAGATAGAAAGTATCACAAATCTAAACAAAAAAGATGATATTAAAGCAAGTAAACCTCCGCACCTTCCCCTGACAAAAAAAAAAAAAAAAAAAAAAAAAAATTGAACTAGTGGGTTTAGCCAAAGAATATGTATAGACCACGGGGTCCGTAATACTCCGTGGTATAGATATAGACGTTGATTGGTCTAGAAGCTTTTAGTGAAAATAAATCTGGCAACAATAGAGTTCAGTATCGCGTGAGGGGTTTGTTTCGTTTTGTGTGCGGAGTTGGTTACTAGTGTTAGTAGTAGCAGAGATATTATCCTAGGATAACTGTCCTGAGCTACAATTTTAATATGGCATGTTTATTACAAGGAAGGATAGCTCTTATAACTGGAGGAGGAAGTGGAATAGGGAGAGCTGTTTGCTTATCATTTGCGAAAGAAGGCGCGATCGTCATTTCCACTGATATAAACGAAGACGCGAGTAAAGAAACAGTGCAAAATCTTCCAGGTCTAATAATTTCCTTGAACATCTGTAAATTCATTTAGTGTTATTTTAATTTCATAAATAAAAGAATATTGGAATAATTTGAAATTACGGTTTACTGAATCATATTTTTCAGATGCTGGGAAACATTTTGCTGAGGCAGTTGATGTTTCAGACTCTGAATCCGTCACTAATTTGATGGCAAAAATAAAAAGGAATTCCCTGTTTCCTAATACTCTGGTAAATTGTGCTGGAATTACCAGAGATACCCTAATGCTTGATATGACGGAGGCCATGTTTGATGACGTTATTAAAGTTAATTTAAAAGGAACTTATCTCATGACGCAAGCATTGAGCAAACTCATGATAGAAACGAAAGTTGATGATGGATCAATAGTAAATATTTCTAGTATTTCTGGAAAAATAGGGAATTTTGGCCAATGTAATTATGCCGCATCTAAAGCAGGGGTGGAGGGATTTACGAAAACAGTTGCTCGCGAACTTGCAAAATATAATATACGATGCAACGCAGTAATGCCAGGATTTATTGATACACCCATGGTAAAAAGTGTTCCTGATAAAGTAATGGATCGAATCAAAAAAGAAATTCCATTGAAACGTTTAGGCACACCTGAAGAAATAGCAGATGTTTGTGTATTTCTAGCATCCAGAAGAAGTTCCTATATTACAGGTGGGATTATTCAAGTATCTGGCGGCCTTTACATGTAATTATTTGTTTAAACCAGGGATTCTCAGTTCTTTTCTTACATCAACTCCCTTCCATTTCTCGCTATAATATGCAACATTCGGAATAATAGTAATACAGATAATTCCATATAAATAAACTGAAGATAGCAATTGGACTAAAACTATAAAAGTTATGAAAAATGGATTATTATATTTATTATTAATTTTACAATAGAAACAAAATCACAGATTCCAATTGCACAAAAATTCGATCTTAATCAATTTACTGATGTAATTATTTAAATATTTTTTTAATAAATTTCTTAATCTGTTCTTTCTTAATTCTAAAATAATTTCAAAAATATTCATCCTGTTTCTTGTTTTCCATAATAAATTATTGACTTAAGTGTGCTTCAAAAGGTAAGAAAAGTGAAAAATCTATAGTTCATTAATAATTTTTATTTTGGGGTAATTCTTTGGAATGACTTAAATTTCAAAACTTAGCATAACTATGCATTTTGAAATAAACTTGCTATATAACTTTCTATCAACAAAAAATTAATTATCAATTTTATTAATATGTTCTATTCAATGGGAGTTTGACTATGATGATAAGTTGCAAATGCAAGTTTGGCTGTTGGCCCCTTGATCATCATAGACTTAACTTTTCACACACCCTCAGGGGATTAATACTGATCTCATTAGGAATGCTTGGTTTAGACCAGGGGTTCTTAACCGGTGGTACACAAAGAAGTAAGGTATTTTTATCTTAAATTCAAAAATTAAAACCCCAACATCCTGATTGAGTTTTTTTCTCTAACACCCGTAAATTTATGCGATTTGAGCTTTGTTTAAGAACGGTGGTGGTAGTACTTTGTAGTGGTGGTACTAAAGGTTTTCAATTTTTGTTAAGATGGTACATGTTAGTCAAAAGGTTGAGAAATGCTGGTTTAGACAATTCAGAAATGCACATGGGATATATTTTTTATTTTTTTGAAGTTGTGACTTTTTTAATTATAAATTCATTATGCTTTATTTCACTAATTGAATCTGAATCAAATTTGTAGAATTTAAATAAATATTTTTAATTAATTGCTTGTTTTATTGATTATGAAAAAATTTAATTTGCTTTTTTTAAAAATTTAGCAATAAAATTATTTCTATTCTAAAATGGCATGATACTTTGTATGAAAAATTTATGCTATTTTCAGATTTTGAAATTTTTTAGTTCTGAAAATGAATATAAGTAAAAAATATATAACTCATATGCAAAATATAGAAAAATGACAGTTTAGTGATTGTTTTTATTATAATAATAGTTCTATATTTTTAAATAATGGCTAAATGTAAAATCTAATTTTCCTTAATATACTGTATATAATATGATTATTCAAGATAAATTTTTGCAAAATGGCATTTTATGACTTCTTGGTAAATTATTAAGGGTAATAATTATTATATTAAATTATTAAAATATAATTTAAGAAAAGTATCTCAAATGGTCTAAAAATGTTTTAGGATCCTGTTTTTATTGTTTTAGCACTATCTCTTATTGAAAATCATTCTAAGCTGTTAAAAAAATGCGTGTAAAGTGCAGAATTGCCCACTTATATGGCGCATATCGATGTGTACATGGACAAAGTTGAGGGAGTGCGCAATGCCAAGTTTGTGCAATTCTCTGATGTTTTTTGAAGTGAAAATAAGCCATTGTGTACATGAATACCGAGTTTGTGCAATTTTTTGACTTGTTATTTTCAAGTTGATGCAGAATCGCCCACTTACATGGCACGTATCGATGTGTACATGGACAAAGGGAGTGTACAATGCCAAGTTTGTGCAGTTCTCAGATTTTTTTTTTAAAATAGGTCAATGTGTACATGGATACCGAGTTTGTGCAATTCTTTGGCTTGCTATTTTCAAGTTGCCGATTTTGAGAAGTGCACGAAGCAGTGAGTGATTTTGCACTTTCTCCCAAAAATGAATTTAAGAATGGTATTAATGTTATTTTCTTATTGATAGCACTTCTTAGTCAGCTTTTTACTAACCAGTTGGAAGTAGTCAAATGTTGACAATCAAAAAGGAAAAGTTGTCAGAAATAACTTTAAAGATTTTTCAAATATCTCTGGACATTAAAGAATTCAAATATCTCTTAACATTAAAGGACAATTTCGAGCCTCACTTGGAGCTTATAAGGGAAATGGAGGCTCAGGAAACTTGCCTGTATGGAAATTAGCCCTGTCTATTCTGGGAATAGCTAGAAAACTTCGGTTGGTTAATGCTTTTTGTCTGAAACAGATTTTGTAACACTTCCAAATGTAAACTAGTAGCTGGGCATGGAAACTGAAGCTCTTTCGTGCACAGGAAACTTCAAGTATGTTACAATTGCTCAAAAATACTATATTTTATTTTCTCCTGACAATTCATAAGTTTACAAAAGATTACTTGAATTCTCAAAACCTTTCGCGAAAAGCATATTCGAACATGGAAATCCAAAATTTTTCTCCTTATTAATATGACATTTTTGAAGAGAAAACAAGACTTTATGGTCTTTTTCTCTTCAAAAATTATTTATCATTATTCAAAACAAATTTTGAATAATGGTCTATACCAGAACTGTTCCTAATTTAACATAGTGGAAGCTTATTAATTTAATTCAGGTTTATTTTCTCTAAAAAAAACATATTTTGAAGAATTGAAATTAATAAAGCTTTCCTTCATTAATGCATTTGCACGAATGTATGTACGTTTCTCGCACTGTGAAAAAACAATGGTATATAGAGACATCAAATTTTAAATAATGTAGTCCTCCACTCAAATATGGGCATCTGGAAGCCCAAATTTGGAATTTGTTTTATTACCTATTTTGTGAAACTTAAACAAACTTTGGTTAACAAACTTAGCGATTTCAACAATATTGGTGGAGTTGTCTGGAGTGGTGTCGCAGCGGATCATCATGGCTGCCATCAGACTGGCATCGTTTAGTGTTCAGCGATGAATCCCGCTTCACTCTTGAAGTAAATCACCACTGTGTTCGTATCTGGAGAGGACGGAGCCAGCAGTTTCAATCAGCCTTTGTTTTACAAAGGCATACAGCCATAACCCCTGGTGTGATGGTATACGGTGCTATTTCTTATTACAGCAGGTCATCTTTAGTCATCCTCTGTACATCTTTATCAGCTCAACAATATGTTGATACCATCCTGCGGCCGGTTGCATTATCCTTCAAGGCACGTCATCCTGGGGACATTTTCCTACAAGATAATGCCAGGCTCGCATATCTCTGGACTGGCTCCATGTGGTTGATATTCTTTCTTGGCCAGCAAGGTCACCAGGCCTTCCACCAATTGAGGATGTCTGGGACATGGTAGGCCGCCAGATTCAAGCACCACAAAATATCACAGATCTGGAGCGACAACTGATGAATGCCTGGCAGAATATGTCACAGGATGACATCAGAAACCTCTATTACTCCTTGCCTTGATGATTTCAAGCATGCATTGCCGCCAGGGGCAGTCCGACCAACTACTAATTTGAACAGTCAATGGGTGATTGCGAGCCATGAGCAGGTACTATGACCTTGATTTTTTAATCATTTAATTATCTGTGTATGAGCTATACACATATTCAATTTCATCAAAAACAACCACTTCCTGCATGGTGCTTCGATTTTTTTTTGCAAAAGAGTGTATACAGTCAAAAGTCGTTAGTCCGGACGCCAATAATTCGGAATGATCTATAATCCAGACCTCAATGCTACAAACTTTCTGCGCATGCGTCAATGCATAATGCGTTCACGCATGTGCATAATATTTTTACGCATGCGCATAATGTGTCTACGCATGCGCGTTCAATGTATAACGGTGTAATTTTGTGGCATTCTGTAGCTGACTTTTTGCAACAGAACTGGAAGTAAATGACGGTTCTAATAGTAGTGTGATAGTTCCATTTCAAACACCTTGTATTTAATGATAACGATGTTTTTTTTTTTTTACAAATTTCAGAACACAGCACGTATTCTAATGCAATTCTCTTTCTTTCAAATGGAAAAAATCGTTTGACAAAATATGATTGAATACACCAACGTGAACTGTTTGATCAGACGATATTTGTGGTGGTGGGAAGCTTTCATTAAAACCCGATAGTTTGAGCAGGTGAATCTACTTGCAAAAAAATGTTTTAACTACCTATTGTAAACATGGATTATATTTAACGAAAGCCTATTTCATAGTTAATATCATAAACACAGGTTGGAATTCACTGAATAAATTATGCAGGAGGATATTGGATGGAATATGTTATTTCTGCATTTAGCACCCATCAACGGCCAAGTGGTAAGATCGCTAACAATTTTAGTTTGACCCTGGTTTAAATCTTGGTGAATGAGAATACAGTAAGACCCCGCTTAACATGGGGGATCCGTTCCATCAAAGTAGAGTGTAATGCGAAACAGTGCTAAACGAGGCTATCTTAACATGTAAATAATGGAGTTAGTGGAAGATGGATAGAAAATTGGTTAGGTATTAAATTTAACAATGTTTTTTAATAAAAATAAACCAAACATTTATTTCTTACAAAAATAAAACAATATAAACGAATATATTTATAAAAACAATAAAATTCTAAGCCAGTCAGATCATTCAGTCTATTCTGTGTTTCCAATTTTCTGCCTTTTTTTTTCAAGAAGGCATTATGATAGATTAGCTTAGTGGCATATTGCGTTCAATTTCGTCGTCAATCCATATAGATAGTCGTTTTTCCACTTCCTGTATAATGTTATTTCTAAAACAGGTAATTCTAGTTGCAGAACTTGACGCAGTTGCAGTTGCCGATGACAGTATTTTTTCTTTATTCTTAAGAATTGTCCTTATTGTTGAAGTTGCCAAATTCAATGCAGCACTATTTGAGATTGACTCTCACCAGAAATCTAATCTTTAATCACTTGCATTTTAGTTTCCAGTGAAATGCTTTTTCTGGTTGCTTTCTTTTCTTGTTTGTTATTATCACCCATGATAAAAACTAAAGATCATAATATTTGTCACTGTATTAATCGTTATAGTATTACGTAAATTTATACTTACAATAATGTCAACAAATGTTTCAAATGATAAAAATGCTTCCGTACAGCACCTCACCGCACCAAACAAGAAACGTAACTAAGTTTCAGATATGTTATTTGGAAACCTACCGCTATGCACAATTTCGAGGAATCCCTGTAGTTCACACTGCGAGCAATTTCAGGGAATCCCGAGGTTGAAATAAAAGAGCGCTAAACCGAAACAGCGTTAAGCGGGGTCTTACCGTATACAGTCAAAAGTCTTTAATCCGGACTCGTCGGGACTTCGGCAATTCCGGATTATAGATAATCAGTTTAAATCTGGTAAGATGGCATGCAGAAATTATAAAATTAAAAATATGAAACCGTAATTTATAAAATAATGAGCAATTATGATCTAAAGGGTATCAAAATTTACAAAAAAAAGAAGCCTAATATTTATTTGTTTACTTTATTAAACATTTCTTTCAAACGTGCGATGCGTAAAGCATACATTACGCATAGCCGAAATTAGAAAATTGCAACCAGAAAACTATTTGATTTGTATTCGTGTATTTATAATGACGAGGAATTTTGATTTAAATCATATCAAAGATGGAGTACATCGAGATTAAATACTACATTTAGTAAGGAATTATAAGCCGAATAAAATAAAAACATCTGCCCTGAAGATAACGATAGTGTTGACAATCAACTTCCAGTTCATTGCGCGCCGGACGTCTTCCCCCCCCACACAGAGCAGCGTGAAATTGATAAACAGATTTTCGGAACGGTTAGATAAACAAAGGATATGCCTTTATCCATTTTTTGTAGCAATTCGTTTTTTGTTTGATGGACATCGAAACATACTTTCGCTTTTCTAGATCCTTTGGGAGCTCCAGCTTCGGAAATTCTATTTGACATAATCGAAAGTTCAAGCTTACTTTTTAAAATTGCTGTTACAGTCTGCAAAAAATAATAAGCCGGATCCAATTCGAAGATTAAGGAACAACGCAATCATCAACATTAACTGAAATAGATAATTAGATAATTTTAGCTT